CGGAGACACGAAACATAAGAATAATCTGGTTGTTTTATTCTTCGCCACGACGACGGTTCGATTCACCGTGATCACAGATCACGCCCCCCTACAAAAAGCCTTGTCTGGGTCCTAGGGTAGGGTAAGCCTTGCCCAGCTTCCAGTGAACCCGCACAGTGATTGCTTTTCTATGGCTAAAATTTGAACAAAGTTGGAGATTTCTAAACAGCGTGTTTTTCAGAGGAGTTAGGTAGAAGTACCCGAAGAGAAACAATTCCACTTTGGTTACCTTGATTCACCAAGAAAGTTCATTCAGACCCCGGGATTCAAACCAACGTCGCATGTGATTGAATCCCAGGAAAAAAAAATTGCTGAAGTCACTTTAGATCCTGACATAAATCAGTGCCTACATGTCTTATTGTAGATCGTTTTCGGAACACTTTGCAGCTTCCATCCTGATCGCCGTCGAACACTGAGATTTGTGCGGCTTCGATTACATTTCCCCTTCCCCGCCCCCCTTGGAGATGTAATTTAAGTGTGTGATCCTATTAGCATGTGTGACGCCTGCAAAGCGACGAGCCTAGATAAGTAAGTTAGATACCGGGGAATGTCGTGCGACAATTGACGTGTTTATTTTTGAACGTATCACGTGGTGTCCTGGTGGTGAGCTGGCTGAGGTGACCTTTTTTGTCCAATGAACATTCTGCACGACATTGTTGTTGATGCTGTTTGTTTTTTCATTGCAGAGCTGATAAAAACAACAAAGGTTTACGCTACGTTTAGGACCGGCTTTGTTTTTAGAAGGAAAACAGAATCATTGTTGCAAGAGTACATGATACGTACACGATCCGCTATTTTTAGGACTTCGCGAATTTTTTGTCTTATTTTGCATGCCCAGGGGTGGACTTCTTTTCTACTCTCACTCGGCAACAGGTATTATTGCTGCTACACTTTGTGGGATTTGAACTATTTTGGTCTACAATGTAGCATAGATTTCGTCTTTTTGGTCTGCGAGAAATAGGCCGGGCGGGACTTCCACACGAAAAGGTCGGAAATGCTCGTCGGAAAATTTGAATTAAACCCCTAAAGGAGACCACTCTGGGCGTGGTTCGAACTCTAATTGACCCCTAAAAGATACCACTTTAAACGGATTAGATTTACCAGCTTACGTTCAGGAAAGGAGCCCTCGCTGGTCGGATCGGACTCGAGATACCGGCAGAAATCGAGCCTTAAAGATACTGTAACAGCTAAAAACGCGTTTCGCTATCAACACCCCAAGTGAGACCAGAATCATTGATTTATACCACTAAGCTAAGCTACAATCTTGGACAAAATAAATGGAACATCTGGACCACCCCTCCCCCCCATTTCAATGATGCCAAAA